GTGAAAATATATGAACTAGGCTGATTCATTAACCAGTCGCAGCTGATTTCATTGTGGGCTAATATGATTCTCGGAAACATGGCTCCTTTTTTCGTGAAACTGGGAACCAATCAATCAGAAATCTGCGTTTGTCTACTTGAATAAGCTCTAATAATGTACATAAAATATATATAAATACGTGCTGATTTCCGTAATAAAATAATTTGTTGCCAGCCCTTGTCTTCTGTTGTTACATTTGGTGTCGCTGCCTCCAAATATGAAGATCCCGTGGCCAGCTGCGTTTGAAGAAGGAGACATACCGAGCTTCATACGCGACTTCGAGGCCGTCGCTGAGCTGGTGGGTGTCAAGGAGCAGGCGGCGAAGGCAGTTGTCCTGGGAACGCTGTTGAGTGGCCGAGCGAAGGCGGCATATGGCAGCATAGATAGGTCAAATGGCAGAGCGTCTTGGAAGAAATTGTTTGAACGATTAGTGTCGGAGTTTGACAGCGCAACAGACAGACAGCTAGCAATGCAGCAGTTACGGTCAACGGCGCTGGGACCTGCTTGGGACCCGCTAGTGTTGGCGGTGAAATTGACTAATCTACTTCGACGTGCGCTTCCCACTTTGGATGAAGAATCAGAAGCGTAGTTACTGTCTTCCCAATTCATTGAGAGTGTCCCAGACCACATTTCTCAGCGATTACAGCTGGTTAACGCAAAGCAGCTGATGGATATTAGTGGGCTGGCGAAGATAGTCAGACAGCTGATGAGCACAACTATAGCCGCTATAAAGCAACCAAAACCAAACGAATACGAGCAGAAAATTGAAGTGTTGCAGCGGGAAGTGGTGGCGTTAAAGTTGGGTGATAGAAAAGACTGATGTTTTGGATGCTGTACGCCGGGATGATGGAAATTTTTTTAAATTTTATTAATAGCTATTTATTTCAAGTATTCTGAGGATTCACGTTAATTTTGCATCTGATCAGGAGCCAGGTGGTATTTTGTTAAGCATTTCATTTGTCTATGTAACATCATTAGCTTCAGATATATGCGAAAAATTTTTAGGATATATATAATACGATATTGTAGATAAAGGGATATAATCTCAAATCTGTCGTTTCTACTTCGATTTCACTGGGCGAACTGCACTTCAGAATGCTGGAAAACAGAATCTATCCGGAATTAATTATATAAACAATAACACGCAATCTATGGTGCTGGACATAAAACCTAAAAAATATTGCAGTTTCATTGAAAGTAGGTGCTAAAATGAACAACGAAATCATCCTTTCACATGACAGGAGTATCACAGCGATAGTAGTTATGTGGCGGATCTTAGACTTTGCTAGCCCAAGTTCGAATAGAAATAAAAAATACAAAATCCGTAAAGTTACTGGAAGAATATATTAAAATTTGTTACCTGGGTTATTACAAGGCCCAAATCCACCATTAACTTAGTAGACTCCATAATTATTGTGCGAAGACTGCTCCAATATCAATATTGCCAGAGGTCGACCTAGGTAACTTAGGGATAAAATACGGCGTCCCTGCGAAATTTTGAAATAGGCAACAGTAAAGAGTAGACACCCATTTCAGATGATCTTGAAACAGCCGATCAAATTCTTCTAGTTGAAAAGTGGTACTTAATTTACAAAGAAGTGTATCTACGATATACCTAATAAAAATGAATCATATAGGGTATATATCTCTAATATGCTGCAAAAACTGGTTCCAGATTCTCATAGAAGTGTTTATAGACATATCAAACCAATGTATTCTATATTTCTCCAGCTGTAGCAGATACTGGTTACATATATGCAATATATCACTATGGGAGAGCTTCGATTTCGAGAAGGAAGTGTCTAGAAAAATCACCAAATATGTACGACTTGCCGACTTCCCCATATAAAGTGGTTCCATTTGAATGTGTAACCATCAATAGCCCGGCAGCACTTTTTCAGAGTTATTATCCCTTCACATATGAGTGTTTTTATTCCCCCCCCCCCTATAAACCCATTTTCCAAAGAGAAGTCAAAAACCAAATCTCGGAGACATTTTCAATGAGGATTTTGATAAGCAACCATTGGTAATGCTGAACTATCTGATTGGTCAAACCAAGGTCACTTGACTTTGGTGTCTATTATTTACTCTTGCCTTGAAACAGAAGGTAGGTAATTAGAATTGGCCGATGGCAGTTGAGATGGTGGAGAAGACGGAGAAATGTAAGCAGAACTATATTTTAATTCAAACCACGAGGTTAAGTTCGAAGTACAGAGATTCTGGTTAAAACAAAGTAATGTACAATATGTTCACTTCTCACATAGTCTTAAAAGTTGGATAAGTTTATTTTTGAGGTCTCCATAGTAATATTTCTGCATCGTTTCAGAATCACACAAATTAACAAAATTGCTGCAACACATTTTATGAAAAATCGACTTTACAAAGTAAGTGGCGTGCATCGCAAATTGGGAAAATTAAATTAACTACAGCCTTATGAGTACAGGTTAGTTTATTGTCAAATAACTTCACCTTAATTGTTGCATCTTCATATATTATTACTAGGACAGATTTGAAATACTTGAACTTGGAGGTTTTAAAGCTCGTGACAATACATAAAGATATTGATAAGAATAAAAACCAGTTAGGGTTATTGTTGTCAAGACATTTCAAAAATGTGATGAGTAATGAAATTGTAACTAGAGGGGGGTGAAGATTGGTAAGAGGGTAGTGGTGAGGTGTTGTCGAGATACATATTTATTAATGCATAAAATAAGTTTAACAAGCGTAATCCAGTCGCTTAATAAGATGAATAGTTTAGTGAGTGAGTTGTGATTAGGATGCACATAGAAACAAAGGAAAATATGGAATTATGCAAGAGTTCTAAAACTTACAAATATTTTAAGGAGTTAGAAAGGAGAAAAAACGAACACACAAGCACCAAGTCAGTAGAATTCAACATGGTTGTTACCATGATGTAGAAGTGTTTGGATGATTTACTTTTGTATACATAAATCTGGCTTTTCAAACTGAATGGCTAAGGCTTCAGCAATACAGTTGTGGCTGTATAGAGAGTGCGATAATCGAACATCTGGTCATTCCATCTCAACAAATACCTCCTTCAAAATAAGTACATATAATTGCGATTGTACAGTTAAGTGAATGAATTCGCCGAAAAGAGACTCTTCGCTGAACTACGTGTTTTGTTTTCATTAACTTCTGCTTTAATTGGACATATTATCTATGCTCTAAGGTAGTACAGTAAGAAGCGATGGATAGAATCACACACTGCTGTAGTTTAAATTTATATTTGAAATTATGCTACATATCATTAAGATTCTAAATTTTATTAGAATGCTGACGAAAACTACTACTTAGTTGCGTTGAATAATTGGCAGTTTGTTTAAATTACTGGGTTACTTATGTTTCTGTCCACAATAATGAGTCAAACTTTCTCGATTTCTTATTACTTTAATCACTCACTCATGTTGCTAGGTAGCAAAATGTGCTCACGTACAATTTTAATTGTGCTTTAACCTGCTGTTATGCATTTCCCGAAGGCGATGAAGAAAATGTGTATCATCAGGAATTGGTTTTTGCATAAGATCGAACAGCATTGAGTCATGCGATACACCAGTATTTTACTCGAGAAACCTGGAAGGACTGTATACACTGAGCAATAAAATGCTCTGAAATTCAGTACACTGTGTTCAGAATAAAGCTCTTAGTCTTAATATTCTACAACGGTTATTCTCCTTCACTAGAAGCTATTTCCAATCAAACAGATATTAGTCAGTCATCCACTTCACTCTCAACCCTAATTGCCCATACACTTATGCTCAACATTCTTATTATTAATTGTACCTAGGATATACGGTTGTTTCGTAGATCTAGTGAAAGTCCATCTGTTTAACAAAGTAGACTGTAAACATCGCACTGGAATTACATAGACTTTTGTGATTAATAACAAGCCTTTTAACCTGTAAGACGAACATCTTTCTCATCAGTGTGATTGAATATGACATCGATTATCTCCACAAGCGGTTTATGATTAAATAAGATGACACAACATTCAAAAAGACTGAAAGCTTGTTGCTAATACGGAAGAGTATTGACTTTGTATCTGGTAGTATGTATCCTGCAAACCGATAAGGCATGTTATCGTCCGATTTACACACAATTATTTATCCGGGAAGTATCACAATCCTAATCGAATGGTTACAGTCATCAAAGAACTCCTTCGAAGTAGCACGTGGTTTCATTAATGACTCCATTCATGGATGTAGGATGAACCCATCGATATAATCCACATAGGCTTCATCCCAGTTTTCGCAACACAACTAAACTGCTAATACCTAGTAGTAATTATCTGATTGTAAAAGAACTCATCAACTTCTTGCTCACGGTGTAGATTAAGTACCGAACAAGTAAATCTACCAGAGCCACTAAAAAGAGAGAAACAATCGAGTTACCTCATACTGGTTTAGGGCTCTTCTACATATATACCTAGCACTCGATAGGTTAAACCAAGTGCTGTCAGATTATGAAACACGTCACTGTTTTGTTGACAAGGTAAGAAATTAAAATCATATTCCCAAACGAGTGACAACTACACAAGGAAGCCTGGAACGCATACCAGGACAGTTATGAGTTTTGGCTTTAACCATCCAACATTAAATAACTCATTACGCCATTGAGAAACATGCACTGAGGGGAACACTGCAAACTTGACTAGTAGTTATGTTAATAGCACATAAGATAAGACGTAACACTGACTACACACTGTGAGATTCATGTACCCTAAAGATGTTCGCTATTTAAACTAATAGAAAATAGGATCAGAAACTTTAACTTACGGAATGTCACACTTTTATACATAAATTAAGACACAGTAGTGACAGTTTTTAAACAGACTACATATCAGCTCTTATTTCACTCAATATGTACTTAACAACTCTGTAATCTGAACACAAAAACCCACTACTGAAGCCCAAATGATGTATGTTTCCAGTTAAAACACATTTAGAGAAATATACCTTTATTAAATTTAAGTTTCATGACAGTACATATGAAAAAATTGGATAGACGAATGCTCTGTATGACAATGATCAAGATTCTTGTGTTATTGAAGGATTGAATTGATCTAGTTTAAGTACAGTCTCCTGATAACTTTCCAATAAGGCGGCAACTTCTTCTCGCAATTGGGTTTCCAAATACTTATCAGCAATTTCTTCACATGCTTTCTTCACTGGATTGCAATTAGAACCACATGGTTTCGCCACCGGAGAAGAGCCACACATTGCATTTGGTCGAACTCGCTAAATTGACATTTACAAAAGTGAAATTAATCAAGAAGAAAATAGCCACACATATTTAAAAAAGTGTGTCAAACCACTAAAATGGGAGAAAGTTATAAGTGTAAATAAACTGAATCTGAGTAACAGTTTATGTATATATTTATATACATACATATATATATATATATATATATATATATATATATATATATATATATATATATAAATATATATTTCACATTATGAAATCCCAGAGAATACTGTTTTCATGCTTTCACTTTAGATGTTCCATTGGAGACAGAATAATATCAATGAGGAATTAACAGTAATCCAAATTACAAAGTCGTGGAAAGAAGTGACTATAGGAGAAGAATGAAACAAAGCAAACTATTCCAGTAACAGAGTTATGATATAATCAACGAAAACAACAAGTATCAATCAAACCCAAGTCCTGGTAGTGCTAAAAAATACACCCAAAAAGCCATAGTTATCTGTTCGTACAACAATTCATCAGAAAGATATTCTTATATATCCATGGATTAAAGCTGTCACTGCAATAAAAACTGTATAATGATTAAAGTGTTCCCACTAGTACAAACCAATCCGATAATTCATAAATTCAATTTTTATCCCTTTTCAACAGCAAATCAAACTAGCAGCACACGTCATCAAGCTGTGAAGTTTTAATGAGTATGGCGATACTGAAATGCGATAAGCAACACAAATGAATGCAATTAGGATTATTCGACCTCAAATATCTTCTGCTTTCACTAAACCGAACAATATCAGTAGATAAAGGTCGGCCTTAAGGACACGAAATTATAGCGGTCAAATAACTAACCTGACTGGTTGTATAACGTCGAGGATATTTTATGAGGACAAAGACTGTCCGACAAAATTAACATCTGGAAGTGATAGCATAAATCTAATCGTGAAATACATCTCCTTCAACAACCAATGGCTTGGAATGTCGATTCTAGTTTCAGCTGTCTCTTATCACAGTCAGTCGAGACAGTTGTTCACTAGAATATGGGTAAATTCAAATAATGAGTCACAAATAGAATGAACAAACTGTCCAGGACTTTAACGATAACCACTGACAAACAGTTACTGTCATAAATCTGACTATTAGCATACAAAAAAATCTAGGGACTCATGAATGTGTATCTATAAACTAAACAAGAGTATAAAATACCTGGAAATGAGCTGCAGTGCGTTTAGCTAGTGCATCAGAAAAGGATTTTACACATTCTGGTGAGCGAGGTAACAAAAACAGTCGAAGAATCTCATATACTCTTCGACTCTGGTAACGATTTAACTTCAGCTTTGTTCTTGCCAATTCTCGGAAGCGTATTGCAGACGATTTTTCATTATTACCTTGTTCATTTTTGATTTTATTAAGGTGTGAGATAGTTTGTATTACTTCCGGAGTTTCAAGACAGCGTTTGCAATCCAAAAAGTCTCTTATACTTTGGAAGTTAGGTGATGGATCTTCAACTGTAAAGACATGAAGAAAGTAATACAGGAATTATATACATACTACCCTAACGACAGTTAACTAATTTATGATTATAAAGTTCTTAACCTGGCATACACCTACAATTTTATCCACTTATATTTCAACTAAAGACACTCAGTAATTGAAGGTCACGTCACCAATAGAGAAAATGGTGGATTATTCATAATATAGTAGAAACGTCCGTGTAAAACATTAATTATTGTGCCGATAACACTGCCTGATGTAATGTTAGCTGTGGGCGGCTCACTACAGCAGTTAGTATGCACTTAAACGTGCAAAGAAGTATTATTACTTCAACAGTAAACAGCAGCAGGTAATTTCAGTCCATACGCTGTCGGGAGCCAGAATAATGGCAAAATAATCCATATAAAATTGCAAGTGAAGCATGCAGGAGCTGAAGATTACCGTCATATGGGTCAGTGAGATTATAAATGCAACCACCAGGGCATTCTCATCATTTCTTAAATTACAAGGCTTATTGGCGCTGTAGACGTAATGGTTGGGATCTGACTATTGACATGAAGGAAATATTCCACAATTGGCCTTGAGAATATGCCAAAGAGAAAACATGAAGTTGTCTGTGAAGCATTTATATGGCTCGATACCGATAAAGTTTTCAGGTATTTTGAGATTACTATTGTAAGTCGCCAGATATTTACTTTCATTATCATCGTCAAGAAAATCAAATACTAGCTAAAATGGTGAGGAAAGGAGTCAAAGGACAGCAGGGTAGAAAAAAGAACGAGGGGTCCTCGAGGATTAACTTGTAAATATACGCATACATTCGTTTTATGTAGGGACATGATTTCTGTCTACTTACTAACTGGTTATTTTATGCTTACTTTTATAATGCCTGTATGATGCAAAGTCTACGTCCTGTCTCTAAAATGTTTCGTATGTTCTTCCAATGATATCAACATTTGTTAGTGGAGTTTGTGACACTCTGTGGAGTGTAAAAGGTGTAAGAGTTAGACAGAAGAGAAAAATGTCATTTTGAGGAGCCTGTAGACCGAGACGAATACTGGGAGTATGTTTGTGTTACGCAAATTAGCTGGTGGTCTTTTCCAAACAACTGAAAACTTTGAAACTGAAATCTCTTTGTAACTTAATGTACGGGTGATTATCCCCGATTCTACCAGCCATTTCAACTAATTTATCTCAATAACCTGAGTTTCTTAGCATATTAGAAACCTATCAGAGACCACTATGCCTGAAGCTCTGGTGATTAGAGGCTGATACTTCATTCGATTATGGCTAAATCATACTGTATTATAGTATTCAATATACTACTCGAGTTAGAAATCTAAGTAATAACAAAAAAAGACAACCATTTAATGATAATTGAAGATGATTTACTGATAATGCTATTTCTACTTCTTACTTAACAGGCAAAGTACAAACACCAACCTCACCTGCAATATCTATAACATCCCACATTGGCACGAAATCGCGGTAGAATGTTTCTAAAAGTTGTGTGGCATGGCCATTGTTTCGAAAAGGTGGGAGAATCAGAACTTGGCTAACTCGTGGACGAAGATTTCTTGGATAAGCATAAAATTTGTAAATAGTCATATAACCAATAAAAGTATATTTCGATTTGCCGTCGGCCTTCTGGTCGACATTTTCGTAACTAGAAAATGAAGCCATTTAGAAAAAAGTTGGTGATTTACATCATATAATAACACCATTGAATATCATCAGTAGGTATAGCGGATGCGCCGTCTATGAAAAACAGAATGAAGGATTCCATTCGTTTGTGATACTCGAGAAATTCTCCAAAACCAGGCATACCATGTTCGATGAAAAATATAGAAAACTTCTTTGGACATTTGCCTGAAAGGCATATATATCAAGTAATGTCTGACGCACCTTTAGCAATTTCATAACTGTGTCTATGGGTCCCATATGATGTGAACTGCGACTCTTCGTCAATTTTCTTGGTGAAATCAGTAAGATTCTTACTGACATCATAAGTGTACACACTAGATAACAGGTGCATAATATCATCAGGCTGGAACATAAAAGACAATATTTAGGCAATAGAACAATCTTACCATAATGCCTTTAGAAAGTTCAGGATTAACTTTTGACGAATAAGAAATATCGATATATGTAGATAAAAAACCTGGTGTGTAATAAATATCAATCTTGAGATTTCGGTATCCGAATATCTGCTCACTAAGATTATTATGAACAACGACTTAAAATTTACTAACCTCTCACCAAATATCTGGTGAGTGAACTCGGGATTAAAGCCTTGTACAGAATTTATAGCTTCTCTGTTATCCACTATTTACAAAATTAAACAACTGATGAACTTGCCTAATTTAAATTGGATAACGTCACAAGCATTCGCACGATAGTCATCAAGAATTCTTGTATGCAAGTCCTCCATGTTATACACACGTCAGAAGCTAACAATTCAGAACAGAAATACGAGATTATGAAAATTTAAAATGTAGAGTTATGATGATATATCAAAAATAACATATTACACAAGGCTTGGACATTACGTCGTGCGTCACAGAAGAGGCAAAGAGAAGAAAGAAGAAGGTATCTGAAGAACAACAGGTCAAGCAACCTGTCATTTTTAATAAGTACGTTCAAGGGACTTTACACTGTATTACTTTCAGTAATAGAAAATTGCATCGCAATCGCAAAGGATTTCAATTCTGAGCTATCTGACATCCCAAGCCACTGAATCACATGACCTTCTAGACCTTACCCAGGAAGTCGTTATTCACCGACAACTGTTAATCCAAAGCCAATATTCAAAGAAGATATCACTTATTGAAGGACTTACACTTTCGCTGAACATACGTAACTAAACCTTACAACCAGTTGGAAGGACACGCAGCACTACAAAGATATTGATGCACGAAGACAATGGTTAAATATCCTCAACTCGGATAGGTCAGATTTCAAATATGTAGACAGAGATTGTATGCATCAAAGCACGCTGAACCTAACCTTCGTACTTAAAAGTTATGTAGGGACGTCAGAAGTGACTCAAATGCTATATACCTTTCCATACATTACCAGCACTCACACAAGTGCATAGATACACAAATTTTCTGACTACTCCCAACGCTTCGCCTAAAAAGTGAGTGAAAGCACAAATTAATATTTCACAAAGTGTATTTGTATCATGACTTCATCAGTACTTCCTTCAATCACAGCGATGTAAATTTTCGAATGAGAGATGATGCATGTCTTCACCTGCTTAAATTCTTTTTTAATCTTAATGGTGTAAATCGGTTCAAGAACACTATCTCACGTGCTATAATAAGGATAGTGTCTTACATACTATAAGATATCCATGTATTTGAAAAAACTGAGAAAATTAGCATAGTTTCTGAAATGACAGAGGTTTGAGTTTCATGTGGATGTTCTTTTGGTGTTGTGGTAAGTGAGATTATCGTACTGTAAAATTCTTATTGTTCTATCATAAACACCGAAATGAAGCTGAGGGCATAAAAAACTCCAAGACAAATACACCGTGCTAAAATAATCTTATCGATAAGTGTACTAAAGTAACTAGCGCCTTAAAGGTAATATTTCTGCCTCACTTAGACTCCCTGATTTCTCTTTTGCCGTAATTCCTCTATCACACCCAGTACGTCTAGTGACATTACACGGACTGGAATGTCCTTTCACCTAATTCAGTTTAAGCAAACAGTACTGCAAGCTATAAATTCACGGATCCAAGCCTTGTCTTGTATATCAAAAGTTGGTCATCCAAGCAATTTCCTAACCTTTACACACAGATGTTGTTATCAGTTAATTTGACGAACACTCATGTGTTTACAGAATCCGACTATTTACTGATTTATTACTGAATAAGCCTGCAAAATTGATACTGTGGTTGAATACATAACTTAAAACATTAAAATGACTGGATTAGTTATCATCGAATAAAGACTGGGTTACATCTGTCTTCAACAGCTTTATATCTTTTGAATCCCAATCAAGTGACGGACAGAGCCATTTGAAACTCAAAAAGAAAAATCCGCCATCGGCAAACTGCATTTCTGGAAGCTCCTTGGACTTTCGCGCACATCGATACGTTGTCTGTCTGTTTTCAACATGGAGCTTTGCACCGATGTGCAACAGTTCAAGTCACCACATTCCATTTAGCACACAAAGCAAGAGAAGAAAGCAGAAGAAATGCATATTAGAGACAGTAGACAGGGATATGAGACGAAAGGAATAGTAATAACGAAGAACAATACAGTTTCATTAGAAATCACAAGTCACAGGGAGTGGATGCATCTGCGCCACTGAGAACGATTGTGAGCCATATCACCAATTGTTTCTAACCATTGGCTTTCACCGTCCTGAGGACCCCAACCAGAAAGTAGTCTACACTTTCCTACGTGACTGGCTTAAACTAACTCTTGTGGATTTTATTGACTGAGGCCATGTTTTCGTTTGACCACCACTAGCTAAGTCTTTTCTAACCTGACCCTATGTCAGCCAACATTGCCCGTTGTCTAGGAAGGCGATTGGTGGCTAGGCATACATAACACATGTCCTAACCATCTCAGTCGATGTAGCTTCACAGCCTCGTCGATTGATTTCCCATCCTTACCTGGTACTTGACGCCTAACCTCAGTACTGCTTACCCTAGTATACCACTACTTCACACGGGAGATGGAACGCAGGCACCTATGGTCAAAGACAGCTAGTCTTTTCACGTCTTCCACTCTCAATGGCCAGGTCTCAGCCATGTAGGAGAACGGAGAGGATTCTTAAGCAGTAAACACGTCCTTTGGTCGTAAGCCGGATATCACGTCTACGCCAGAGACGGCGTAAACTCTTATATGCTGAGTGGTGCTCGGGAAGCACAAACACTAGAGAGCCAGGCAGGCTTTAGACCAGGAAGAGGGTGTATTGATCATATCTTCACCCTCCGACAGATTCTAGAACATAGGCATTCCTACCGGCGTCCAACAGTCATTATATTTCTTGACCTAAAGGCAGCATTCGACTCTGTCGATCGGGAAGTTCTCTGGAGATGCTTGGCTGTAAAGGGAATTCCGAGAAAATATATTGCACTGATTAAGGCACTCTACTCGTACTCATACAGCCAGGTGAGGGCTTACGGCGAGCTGTCATCTGAACTGATGACGACCAGTGGTGTCCGTCAAGGATGCCCATTATCTCCTTTTCTATTCAACTTCATCATAGATGTGTTAATGGACTTAACCCTAGGTGACTTCAGTGACTCAGGGATTGACTTGCTACCAGGGAATAATCTCGTTGACTTAGAATATGCAGACGATATAGTCCTTCTAGGCGAAGACGCTGACGAAATGCAGAGTCTTCTAAACACCTTGAGCCGCAATCTACGAATGTTTGGCATGCGATTCGCTCCCGACGAAATGCAAGATGATGTTACAGGACTGGACTACATCGACGCCTAGTTTAAAAATAGGAAGTGAAGCGGTAGAGCACGTTGACCGCTTCACTTATTTGGGAAGTACCATCAGCCCCAACGGGCTGATCTCTCACGAAATCTCAGCACGAATACAAGGGCCTCGTTTCGCATTTGTTAGTTTACGCCGACTCTGGCGTAGACGAGATGTTTGACTATCGACCAAAGGGCGGGTGTACTGCTCATCAGTCCGCTCCGTCCTCCTTTATGGTTGTGAGACCTGGCCACTGAGAGTGGAAGACATGAAAAGACTAGCTGTCTTTGATCATAGGTGCCTGCGTTCTATTTCCCGTGTAAAGTGGCATAATAAGGTGAGCAACATGGAGGTTAGGCGTAGAGTTCTAGGTAAACAGGGGAAATCAATCGACGAGGTTATGAAGTTACATAGACTGAGATGGTTAGGACATGTGTTACGTATGCCAAGCCATCGCCTCCCTCGACGAGCAATGTTAGCGGATATAGGGTCAGGCTGGAAAAAAGCTAGCGGCGGTCAAACAAAAACTTGGCATCAGTCAATGAAATCCACAACAGTTGGTCTAAGCCACGTAGGAAGGTGTAGACTTCCAGGCTGGGGTCCTCGGGACGGTAAAAATCTATGGTTGGAAACAATTGGTGACATGGCTCAAAACCGTTCTCAGTGGCGCAGATGCATCCACTCCCTGTGACTTATGATCTTCAATGAAACTGTTTTGTATTTCTTTATTACTCCTTTGTCTCACACCTGCTCACTGTTTCTATTATGCTTTTCTTGTACTTTCTTCTCTTGCTTCGCGTGCTACACGGAATGTGGCGACTTGAACTTCCGCACATTTGTGCAAAGTTCTATGTCGAAAACAGACAGAACAGATATGCTAAACGAGCCTTCTGTATCCGTGCTGAGATTTCGTCAGAGATCAGCCCGCTTGCGTTAGCTGATGCAACTTCCCAAATAAGTGAAGTGGGCAACGTGCTCTACCACTTCACTGCCTATTTTTAAGCCAGGAGTTAGTGCAGTCCAGTCCTGTAACATCATCTTGCATTTGGCGGGAGCGAATCGCATGCCAAACATTTGTAGATTGCAGCTCAAGGTGTTCAGAAGGCTCTGCATTTCGTCAGCGTCTTCGCCTAGAAAGACTATGACTGCATATTCTAAGTCGACGAGATTATTGCCTGGTAGCAAGTCAATCCCTGTGTCTCTGAAGTGAGTTAGGGTGGCTAAAATCTAACCTATAGTATTTGCCTGTTACTTGGGAAATATGTACTCGGAAATTTGTCCGCAGTCTGATCAACCAACAGTCTGCTAGTTCATGTAGAGTGGCTTAAAACTGAGCACTGTTGTGTAAGTTAACTAATTGCCGAACTCTTGAAAATCTCGCCTTTATTTACTTATTTTCCCTTCTCTCACTTTGTACTTATATTGAGGTCTGAAAGCCCTTCGTTTTGCTTGTTGCTACACATTCCTCTGTCAAGAAACTATATCTACCATGGATTTCAGCAATCCACAGGTTGTCTCTAGAAAAACCACTCATCCCGAACACCCGATCTGTAGAGAACTGGTTACTACATATCTCTTCGGATCAGATAACAATGTTTCTTTTAGTGTGAGTGATGAGATCTATTCACGTTATTTAACAATAACTGACAGTTCCATGCACCTGGCAATGAGGCACACATAACTTGTGTGCTAGTGACTCGCCCTTATCACCCAAACCTTGGCAGGCGACGTGTAAACGTACGATCAACTAAATGGCTAAAATCTGAGCCCATAAGTCTACAGTAATATCGAGTTACTTCAGAAATTACTCACTATAGAAAATAGTGTCAGTTTAGAATTCGCAAGCATTACTTCAGCAATAATATTTGCTCGGATGGGTGAGACAATCTCAGTTGTACTTTAGGTCAAGCAGTCTTTCAATGCTCCAGCTGATAGATTGTATGAAGTCATGAGTTACAGAATCGCATCACGTACGTGTTTTTCATTTTTAGGCAAATGAAGAAGATACCGGGGGATATAACAGTGGCACTTATGTAAGTAAACTTTTATAAATGCTAAGAATGTGCTGAGCACAATTTTTCACCCACTAATATTTTATTTTGCTTATTTGCAGGATGCTACCAGTGGATCGTACTTGACGGGATTGCAGTGACATTATACTACAGTTAATAAATACAAAAGTCTCAATTATAAAAACTGATTTTTTTCTGTAAACTAAATGAATTGGGCCGCCGTAGGACACAGGTGATAATAAGTAGAAGTCTTTTCGTTCTAAAGTAATGCGAGTCAGTGCTGAAAATGATCTGCGAAGGCCTGAATTAGGCTGAAAAAATTGACACTATGTGCTTAATTTAGTCTTTGCTATGCTTAAAAGAAGAACACGGTTCTGAATTAGCGCTAGTTATGCTGAAAACTAGCACTGAGTTCTAGTCTGTGCCACTAAACAAACGATTTCATAACAAATTCAGAATTTACTCACTATAGGATGCTAGAATTATTTCAGAATTAATGAGATTTAATTCAGAATTATAACAAGCTTGGGCGTGTAGCTCAGGTCACAGGAGTAAATTTACCTAATTAAAATAAATGAAACAGCTTGTGCCAAATTATGCATCAAAAGAAAAAAACAGAAAAGTAAAACCACTTGCATATCTACTCTAAATACTTATCTGCGCTTTTGCCGAGAAAGTGGGAGACCTCACCTGTAAACCAAAGTTACAACCGCGCTTTCTTTAAACCTCAAGGTCAATCAGCAGCACACTAAAACGCTCAGCCTGTCCATTTAGAGGAATCAGTTGAATGACATTTTACTCCCTCTTGCAGTTGGAAGAATCACGACGATGAAATAAAGTAAGTTACTCGTTGTGTGTATTTCAGAAATATTATTCGAAACGAGGAGGGAAGACTTTGGAAATACCCCTCATATTCAGATTTAGATTTATTGGTTGAAGATGGAAGTCTTACTGCCCATATTAAACCTTTTCCAGTAAATTTCTGTGTTTTTCCAAACCCTTCCTGAGTGAATCAGTTGAGGTTGCTGACACCACTTCTTCTGGGTGTCGGTTCCAATAGTTTAGGATCAGGTGTGAGAACCTGTATTCCACTTCAATATGATTTCTTCTTGGCTTTTGAACCCTCCTGCTATGTCCTCTAAAGTGTTCCGTCCCGGTGGGAAGCAAAAAAGAGAATGGATCAGGTCCCCAGTTACTATTAAAATTTCAAACTCAATTAAATCTCTCCTCTACATATGGCATGATAGGGAAAAGAGATTTAAACTGTCTAGTCTTCCCTCGTATGACAAATTAGTCGAGAACCACATGTGTTGCCTTTCTTTAAACCCTTTCTAGAATATGTGAGTTCCCTATAGGACAAGAACTGGCTACCTGGATATAGTTTTCCAGCCTTGACCTCACTAGAAATGCATATGAGGAGATGAATACGTCCTTGGTGATCCCAGTAAAGGCTCTGCGAATTGCATATAATAGTCTGAAACTACGTTCATCCACCGAGCAACAGTGTGTTGCAGTTTTCAAATCGTGGCTAACTATGACACTTAAATCTAAATGGGCCTGAACTGATTGGAGTGTTATTCCCCGAGTTCGTAGGAGCTGATGCTTTTGTGTAAAATGCTCATGGTTGCACATTATTATTATTATTATTGTATCCTTTAACTCCTAGAGGAACATAGGGCTTCAGCTGCGCACCTCCATTGCCTTCGGTTTTCTGCCAACTTATTCACCCCGCTCCAAGTCTACCCACATGCTTCCACGTCCTCCTCACATAACCTCATCCAAGTCACCTTTGGACGACCAACTCGCCGCTTCCCTTTCGGGTTCCACTCGAGCGACGGCTTGTCTAGTGATGTCACTTGATGGTTTTCTCAGTGTATGGCCAATCCATCTCCATTTCTTCCTGCCTATTTGCTTCGCAATCGGTTCCTGGTTGGTTCGCTCCCAGAGATCTTTGTTGCACATTACGATACATTGATCAGGAGCATCCGTTATCTGGACCACTCTGACAATTTGTTCGGGTCCTTTCGCAACTGTTGCCCTTCATCTCCCTCCAAATTTTTAAGTTATCTGCGTTTAGGATCATAGGAAGTCGGTGAGAAGAGATAACTCGTTATTATACAAAATAAATAAGAGAAGTCCGAGTTCCGTGCCTTGTGGCATTCCGCTACGCACTGCTGTCGAAGAGTAGAGTTTCGGGTTGACCCTAACCTTCTGTCTCCTATATGTAAGGAATTCCTTGAGCCAGTTTAGTGACCTGCCTTTGATACCAAGACTTTCCAACTTCATGAAGTCTTCTGTGATGAACTTTATCGAAGGCTTTGCTGAAGTCCGTGAAAACGACTCTAGTGGGTCTTCTGTTGTCCCTTGATTTGACCTAGCTTTCTCTTTCATTGAAAAGATTTGACAGGCATAAGAAGTTTCCTTGTAGGCTATTTTGTACTCTGGATAACGAATTGTCGTTTTATAGAAATGCTGTGATACTTTTCTTAATGATTCTTTCCAGTGTCCTGATTGAAGTGCTGGTGGGACTTATAGGCCTTGAGGTTGAAGGGCTTTGTCTTGATCCTCCCTTGTGGATTGGGTTACCATGGCGCGTCACGTGGTAACACCAAATTAAGGAGAGAGAGCTTGAAGATAGTGGTTAATGGACCAGCCATATGAACTGATAGCTCCTTGAAAAGCCTCAGATAAAGACCCACTGATTTCCTTGCATCTAGTTTCATTAGGCAGTTGAGCACAGTGTCTTGGTCGATGTAAATGGAGTCTATCTCGTGCTCCTCTGATGCAGCCAGAGCTGATCCTGTAGGGAGTGATTTCTCCTGTGTAAAGACTTGGGAGAAGTAGTCTGCCATTGTTTCTGATTTCTCTTGATCTTCTTCGACTATTTCATTATCAGTAGTCAGGTTTATGACACCATTGGATGTTTTCTCTCTGAAGTTCATGCACGAGAAAATTTTCTTACGTTGTGCCTTTGCATTTTAAGCCAGATGTGTTTCGAACTTCATCATTGATTGGCGGATTTCTGCAAAAGCTTCATTCCTAGCAGTGTTGTATAATTTCCCGGTCTCAGGAGTCTCAAGTAGGTAAACAGATTCTAACGTTTGTGTTTACGTCTGAGTAACCTACGAATCTCTCGGTTTATCCAAGAGGGCAATGTTTCCGGCCCTTCGGGACAGGCCGAAGAATGAAAGATTCAGTTACCTGAGAGTAAAGTTCCTTAAGCGGGTCCTATGCGGCTTGTACTTGTGACTCTGGGTTGATTTACCACTTCACTGAGTTGGCCACTGAGACGATCGCATCTATATCAGCCCTTCAAACGTTTGATCGAGCTGGAGTTTTCGCTCTTGATGCTGTCACCGTGACCTTGAAAGTGAGCATAGCACAATCACTTCTCCCTAAAAGAGGAAGATGTCGTATGAGATCCACATCCTCCCCATGGGAGAACACCAGGTCCGGATTTGAGGAGGAGTGCTGTGAGTGATAGCACGTTGGCTTAATGACATTTTGGATTACTGCTAGCGAAATGCTAGGTTCCAGCATTTTATGATCATAGGTGTTGTCTGAGGATGGCGTGTAAGACTCGTTCAGTCAACCGGTGAGGGGCATTGAAGTGGCTGACTGCGAGACTTACACATTCCGAATTCCAAGTGCTTTGCTTCTATTAGGAAGCCATGTGCACTGTAGTCAGGACGGCGGTATGCAACCATGAGGTTTCGGAATCATCAGAATTCAGACTTTGAGAATCCAAAAACCCTTAATCTTAAGGTTCTTTTCACATTTTCGGCGCTGCTCGCCTTATTCTAGGGTCACAGACTGTCTTTTGACACGATCTGCTGGGATTAAGTCCACACGGTAATATATGCATAATCCTTTGAGAATTTGAGAGTTGCTTTAGAGTTTAGTACGACTTTGAGGAAACGTATAGGCTGATCTACTGTAGGGTCAGGCATTTAGCCACTGTGTATTGTTATGATTGATACTGTTTTCGGCAGTAGCTTATCTAAAATGGGCTTGACCAAGTTGTCATGCTCGAAGTTAATCTTGGGATCGGATGCCAGTGACTCTTCCACTTTGTGGGGAATCAGCGACCCGCCAGAGAGATCAGGTTTGCTTGGTGTGGCTTTCCTGCTCTTAGCGTAAATGTCTTTCTCTCCCTTGTGGGCGATGTGGCCTATGTGTTTTCCTTATCTTGCTTTTTGCGAGAGACAATATTGCGCTATTCATCGGCGTCCTACTCGCTAATCGTGGTCGATTTTATATGCCCGCTATCCACCAGTATGGAGGACGCTTGGTCCATCAATCCCTGTGCGACTTCAGCTGCGGGATTTCATCCCCTGATGCACCCCTACTTCGTGCTAGATTTTCCATTTTTGTCACTGGAAGGCTCATCTGGTATTGTGGGGTGTCTGTAGTATGGTGGGTGCTCTTCTGTGCTGACGGGCACCCACTCTCTGATAGAAATGCATCAGGAACATATATTGTTTTGTCGATGGTGCTAGTCACGTCGTCGGTGTCTAAGCATTAACCGATGTTCTTATTTGGTGGAATGCCGTTGCAGTCCATGAGCTTTAGTGCCCCACTGAGAGTGGCAATGGCTTCCGTTATACGAAACTTAGTCGTACTACAGCAGTCATTACACAATCAATTCGCCAGAGGTTTGCGGCAGCGCTTGGATGTTGTAGGAGTTTGGTTTGTGTACATGCTATGAAACCATCTTTCGCAGTTATCACACTGCATTCCCTCTTCAACTGCAAAATGGCACATAACTTTTCCATAGCGGTTCTTTTTGATCAGCAGGCATTTTAGAGCGAATTGGCGTAAGAAGATATAAATATGACTTTATATATGTAACCTTTATAAATCAGTGATAAAAAACCAACGAGTGCACAAAAATGGATATATATAATTATTAGGCTACAAGAACACAACTTCCCATAATTAAATAGACTCAAAACTGAAACGTAAACTAACTTCGATCGGAATAAACTGATATAAAGTTAATCTATGAACTCTTGGAACGAACAACACAACAAAAGCCCAAATTATGCGAGAGTGTGCAAAATTCGCTCTCTTTTCAAAGTTCTCTGTAACTCCTCTACGAAATAGGGTAGGGTAAACTGACTCGTTTAAATACGTTTTTAATACCGAGACAGCAGTTTCTTATCTTTGGTGAGCTAATGCCCAGTTAACCCATCACTCCTCAGCCAAAGATTTGGTAGACTTTCGGGAGGAGTGGTATCGCAGATTGATTATATGTGAATTGCAGCGTGCGCTTTCTATTAACTGAGTTTCTGCTGTGCTACTCCACCGAGTGAAGAGTAGGAAAGATGAAGAGGAATGCGAAACACGTATAAAACAAAAAATTATAACCAGTAGGATTTGGCAGAATTAATTGGTGTTGAACCACCTGATATATTTTATGCGCACTGGAAGCAACTGAAACACGAAACAATGGCACAATTTCAGTCACCTGGAAAGGGGATAGACCTTCCGGGGAATGACTCGTATGGTATCGCACGCATCCAGTTATTGACGAAATTAAGCACAATTTCTAAAGCATAACGCAGCGATTAACAATTCTACTAAATTTTTGGTTCAGAGCATTTTTCACTCCAAACAGGTTGCTGATGTTGAATTGTTAGGACAAAGGTAAGCATTTAAGCATCACCACCATTTGATAATCTTTTGTGTTTTACTTGTAGGCCGGACGCTACCTATAGACAATCAAGGGGATGTCAAC